CTCAGACACCTTCTCGTTTTCCTTCATGTCGAGATTCTCATACTGCTTTTGTAAAGACTGAAGCTTCACCTTTTTCACTGATGTGTCACCACCGTAACACCTAACAAGTGTGTCCCACACAACCTTTGTTGTCGTCGAATCAACGATTTTCTCAAATATGTTCACATCCATACACTGATGGATGTAGAACAACACCTTATGATCTTTCTTCCTCGGATCACGCTGAGCATTTCTCTGCGCATCAGTTGGATTTTCTGGAAGTGCAACTGAAACATAACCATCGTTGACGAGATCAAGAACATCTTGAGCGCCAAACAAGACATGTATCTGAATCATCAAACGATTCTAGTTCTTGCCATCGAACACTAAAAATTTGGTGCTCAGACTAATGTTTCTGTTCATGTGGATCTTAACCGAAACTCTAGATACAAATTATTAGTGCACAAAGTGATGAAGAATAAAAGAATATATTTATTGCTCTGCAATTACGACTACAAAGGTTAAAAGAAGATTATTATTAAAATGACAACTATTACTATTCTATTTATACATACAAACTAGACCCATATAAACAACATATTAAAAAAAATATTAAATTACTCTTCAATACACCTCAGACTTTGTTTTTCTTGAGATAGATTCAATTGTCCTTTGTTAGTATTTTATGATGTTTTATAAGCAGTTTTAGACTCATTGAACATCACATATCTACTTTACAATTCATTTCATATGTTCATCTTCCAAACCACAATTTATAGCCTTTGACACTTCCTGCATACCCTATGAACATGCACTTAAAGGCCCTGGGATCTAACTTGTCTTGCCTTACATAAACATAGGAAACACAACCAAACACTCTAAGTGGTAAAAAATAAAAACGAACGTCATATTGGACAAATCCCTATAATATGTGACATATTAAGAAACAAATTAATACTAGTACTTAAACAATGTCGATCATAAGTGTAGTGAATTTAAAAATTAATGCATTAAGTGTTTCTCAATCTATCGTTATTGTATCGAATTAGGAAACAATGACAAATAAATATGAGATAAAATAGTAAGCGGTTAATATGAGAAAGTTTACCGTTGTTTCTCACTTGTTTACATGATAGAAAAATATCAATGATTCAGAGTCAATTCAAGTCGATAATCAAATTAGATTTTGAGGAAGCTCATAAAAATGTTGGCAACAGAGTTTATATTTATTTTTGGAGTGATGTTTGAATATATAGATCCTTTTTATAAGAAGGGTTAATATACTATTTGCTTTCTGCCATATAGGTAAATTCCAAAATCTCTAAAAAAAAATATATTTCATCCTTGTTATTTTAAAATTCTCTTATTTTAACTCCTCGCGTTTGGTTATTATTTTAATGTTTTATTAAAAATCTAAAATTTTGTGACCAAATGGTATTGAACTTATAGCAACATAACTAACTACTGGACTTTTGGCTTCATTATATATTTGATCGAATGAAATGTATATAATTTAATATATCAATTATCAATGTTATATATTTTAATTATCAATTATGAATATTAATTATCAAAATAATATATTTTTATAAAAACTTATATTTGTAAATGAAATATTGTAAAAAATATATAATACATTATTGTTTCATATAAATATTTAAACGTGCATATTTATTTTAAAATTTTTATTAACAAACTGAAATTTTTTATTAATAAACGGAAAATAATTTTTATTAATAAACTGAAAATAAATGTTTTTAATAATAAACTGAAAATAATTTTATTAATAATAAACTGGAAATAAAGATTATTAATAAATTGAAAATAAATTTTTATTAGTAAACTGAAAATAATTTTTTTTAATAATAAACTGAAAATGATAAAATTTTAATAAACTGAAAATAATTTTTATTAATAAACTGAATTTTTTTATTAATAAACCATAAATAATTTTTATTAATAAACTGAATAAATTTTTATTAATAATAAACTGGAAATAAATATTATTAATAAACTGAAAATATTTGTTTACTAATAAACGAAAATAATTTTATTTTTTTAATAATAAACTGAAAATAATAAAATTTTAATAAACTGAAAATAATTTTTATTAATAAAATGAAATTTTTTATTAATAAACTGAAAATAATTTTTATTAATAAATTGAAAATAATTTTTTTAATAATAAACTGGAAATAAATATTATTAATAAACTAAAAATAAATTTTTGTTAATAAACAAAAATATTTTTTTTAATAATAAACTGAAAATAATAAAATTTTAATAAACTAAAAAAAATAATTAATAAACTGAAAATAATTTTTATTAATAATAAACTGGAAATAAATATTATTAATAAACTGAAAATAAATTTTTATTAATAACGAAAATATTTATTTTTTAATAATAAACTGAAAATAATAAAATTCTAATAAACTGAAAATATTTTTTATTAATAAACTGAAAATAATTTTTATTAAAAACTAAAAATATTTTTTTATTAATAATAAACTGAAAATAAATTTTTATTAATAATGCATTAGTTTACAAATATGCAATAGTTTACAATTTTTATTAATACATTATTTAAAATAAATATGGACATTTAAATATTTATTTGAAACGATTATATATATATATATATATATATATATATATATATATATATATATATATATATATATATATATATATATATATATATATATATATATATATATATATATATATATATATATATATATATATATATATATATATATATATATATATATATATATATATATATATATATATATATATATATATATATATATATATATATATATATATATATATATATATATATATATATATATATATATATATATATATATATATATTTACAATATTTCATTTACAAAAATAAATTATTTTGATAATTAACATTTATAATTGATAATTGAAATATACATTGATAATTGATATATTAAATTATATATATTTCATGCAATCAAATATACAACAAAGTTAAATGACCCAGTAATTAGATATGTTGCTAGTATGCATATGGTTATGGGCTCAAGATCTTTATGTGCACATAAATGTGCAATATTACATATTTGTTTTAAAGGATTTAACCTTTTTGATGTTGTAGTTATTTTGGACTTGGATCAATCGACTTTATATCATTTATTTTTAAATTAATATATTTTTGTTTCTCAAAAAAAAAAGCACCGAGGGGCCAAAAGGTATATTTGCATCTGTTTGCAATGTCACTGCATGTTTACTATACAATTTTTAATAAATGAATAAGTTCTTTAAGAATTTTGATATTCAAGTGTTTTGTAAGTTTGCTACACAATGAGTCAATGACAAGACTTTTCATTCAAAAGAAGTTTCAAAAAGGTATACAAAAACATTGAATTGGTTGGTTCTCTGGATAAAGTAGAATCTTCTATTAATGTTTCAAAATACTAGGTTTACGATTATTACAAAGAGAAACTTACTTATTATCTAACTTTTTCATATCACATAAAAAAAGAAAATTGCATTTATACATGATTGTATTTTTAGTTGAATAATGTTATTTAGTACGAAAGAATTTGAGCAAAAAAACATAAAAATATATATGTGTTATTAATTTATTAGATAATTTTTAATTTATTATAAATTAAATTTTCTTTTTAATAAAGATTATGGAATGATTATAATAAGAAATAGTTGAAATTTATTCTTGTCTTTTTTATTTTCACTTTTTCTTATTTATAAGTATTTTTCTTTTTTAGTTACCACCTTTCCTAATTTGATACCAATTTTAGGTATTCTTTGTAGATTTGTTAAATATATTCTTAAAGAAAAGTATTTACCGTTTGTAGTTTTGTTAAATATATTCTTAAAGAAAAATATTTACCGTTTGTAGTTTTGTTAAATATATTCTTAAAGAAAAATATTTACCGTGTTTCATCATCCATATATATTTTACCATATTTATGCAAAAAATGAGAAAATTATAGAATCGATGAGTGAACAAATTTACAAAAAGGAAGCAATAAAGTTTCTAGCACTTTTGATTCATTCTACAGAAGTATTTGAAAGAAAATCACGTGTAAGAAACATAATGTTACAATTATGTTTTTAAAAGTTAATTGAAGAACTTGATTTATTATTAGATCTTGGAGATTCAAATGAAGAGTTTAGTAATTCTACATTTAAAATTATTTAATACATTTAAAGTTGTTTTAAAATTCTCTAATAATGAAATGATTGTATAGTTATCTATGTTATTTTGTAGGAATTAGGACATATGCATGCATATATTGTTTTTTTTTTTGGGGATTTAAAGATGAAGAATTTTTTTTCGTGAGAATGAAAATATGGAATGGAGTTCTTTTAAAAGTACTTTGAGAATGGGAACGAATAATATATCTCTTATATCATTAAATTTATGTCTCGCTCACCTACCATAAAATTTATGTTTCGCTTAAATATCATAATATCTTTAATATATAATTTAAATTTATTAGAAATTTAAAATAAATTTAAAAAAAAAAGAAGAGAAATTTAAATGATTATTTAAAGTTTTTGAAGTTTAAATTTTTTGGTAAAGATCAATTGAAAGAGATGAAAAAAATCATTTATAACGGCATTCAGAGACGAGAGTGAAGAATAAATTTAAGAGCGGTGAAGGAGACGCAACTGCCACCCCATTCCATTGACATCCATATGTCTGATTCTCACAATGTGGCAACTAAAGGACGATACAATCTTTGCTAGTGAAAAGTAGTTTGGAATCTCTCAATAAAGAGGTCCATATACCCGTTAAGGAGAAAATGTCATGAACTTGGCACGAGAAGTTACTCCTTTTTTGACCATTAGTGTAGAAGTGGCAGGACTTAAAAATGTAAGGATGATAATTGTATAAGTTCCAATTATATATAAAGAAAACTATTGAATTGTCAGGATCAGAACAAATTTATAGCAAAAATGAAAAGTTGTCCATAGAGTGAAAACACACATGTAAAAGGCAGATAATATGATTTTCATACAGTAGAATATGGCTTCAGAATGAAAAGTTCAGAGAAAATACATGTACCAAATATAACAACACTTTCACATAGAAGGTTCACAAAGAATGCATTATAACCAATGGCAGGCTCCGCGGCAGAAGTAGGAGCAGCATCAGAAGCAGACTTGGCAGGCTCGGTGGCAGAAGCAGGAGCAGCTTCAGAAGCAGACTTGTCAGCCGAAGCAGGTGCGACAGAGGAGGAAGAACGCAAAGAGAGTCGCGGGAGTTTGGAGGAGGAAGGCACAGAGAATCGCGAATGATAATTGTTAATCTTCGCACCCTTTATAGATTCTTCAATCTGTTAAGTAACAACCAATCACAAACTCTTCTTATGGTTGTTTCATTTAAAACTATCTAACCTTAGATTCTAAGAAAAAATTACCACACTAGGATCATTCATAGTTTTAAAATAACTACCTGCTTCAGATTAAAAGCACTCTGGTACTTTGTTCTGATGTTCACTTCAGCCGACGGTGAATTTTGTCGCAAGAAGTCAACTACTCCATCAGGTACGGCGGATGGTTCCAAACATGTTTCAAATGCCTCTCTTAACTTTTCAACTTCTTTAGGTGACTTGGCAGCAGCTTTCTTTAACATGGCGTCTTCCATTAATAGTAATAAAGATCCTTCCTCAATTCGTATCAGTTTTACTTTCAACGACTTCAATTTATGCAAAGAAGGGAGCTTAACCTCGAATAAATCAGGAACTAAGGAGAGAATCTAAGAAATGAGGGTGAATTAAGATCAGTTTTAGGCAAGTCATTTGAAGTTTAGCAAAATTTATAAGAAACACAAAATCATCCTAAGAGAGTAAAAATAAAGTCCAAAAACATGAAAGGTACCTGAAGAACAGTTGAAGTGATTGTCAATGACTCTATATTGGCAAAGTTTAGCAGCCAGCTAAATAGAATCAAAGCATCCTCCATCGAAGCTGAAAATCGTCGTGATTTGATATTTACCTTTTTAACCGAAGAAAGTCCGCTCCCACATATTTCATGAATATGGTGGTTCCCGGTATAATTAAAGGTAGAAAGAGTTGGAACATATAGCTTGATCTTGGCAAGGAGAGATGAATTATGATGCATAGCAAAATTGACAAGTGTGTGGCTTGATATGCTGAGGATTTGTGCATCCATTACCTTATAACAACGAAGGACCAAAGTATTCAACTTGGTAAAGGCCAAAAAGGGGTCAGCACAACCGCTTTCATCACCGCAAAAGGCAAAATTTGTTAGATCCAAGCTGGTTAGTAAAGGCAAATTCAAAGAACTTGGAAATAATGTTTCTGTAGGATCCCTCCCTCTAGGGTGAAGTGAAAGCTTAAGAGATGTAAGAGCCCGGCATGAAGAAACACAGCTCAAAATGAGAGCAATATCACCATTGACAGGGATTCCTAAATGTTTGAGATGGGTGTTATGGTAAAAAACATAGTTTAAAAACTTTTTAAGGAGTCGAGGCTCAATATCACGATGACGGAAAAGATCAAATGTATGTAGTGCAGTTGAGGTATCACAGAGGGACAAAATCTTAGAGAGGAATACGGAAAATATCTTCAAAGTCCTAAAATGAAAAGAATTCAACGTAATAGTTGGAATACGTTTCCAGAGATGTTTCCATCTGGTGGACAAAACACAAGTTTGAACCGCATGTTGTATGCTCAAAAATGCTAAAATGTGAAGGATAATACATTCAGGTAAGTCGCTGAGTCTATCTTTATTCTAATCTCCAGAGACTCTTCTTCTACCAAACTTTGTTCGAATCCTGATATGATAGAGATATGATGAGACAAGGCTAGAAAGTAATTTGAAAATGAAATAGAGTTAGAGAGTGTGAAAATAAAATACCACTTGTCCGATGAAACTGAACGCTGCAGCACATAGTCACAATTAAAGGCACGAAGTAGGTACACAATTCATAATGAATCATGAAAACAACAACAATTGAGATTCAACATGATACTGTATCAGAATTGTCCAACCAAAACAAAAAAATTAAAGTAAAATAAAAATCACATCACAATCAATTGCAGCATATAAGAGTATATAACCACTAAGTAAAAGAGCGAGTAACAAATTATATAAGAAAATATGAAGAAATAAAAGCTCAATCAATTACAACAGTCTCAGAAATGTACGTACATATATAAGATAAACACAAACAATATTAAACTGTATTCTATTTTTTCTTAATTCCTGAAATGTCCTTTGGACTCCGGATACATCACAACTATTTAATTATGATATTTTTTAAAAAATTAAAATAAAAGCCAAATATTTCAACAAACTAATAATTGTGATTAATTGACGGGATAGAATTTCTTTACACTGTAGATTTATTTCAATTAAATTTATTAAAATTTTACAATTTGACTTAACAAAATATATGATTATTATTGATTGATAATATAAAAAATAATTTAGACGGCTACTATAATATCTATTTTTCATGAGACAAATATTTTTTTATAATAAAAAACATATAAACATATAAATTTATGATTATTGACTATAGAAAACTTTTTACATATTTTTAAATTAAGATTTTTTTAATAATTTAATTTTTATATATTAATGATGTAAAAGCATATTATAATTTCAATGAGTCATAATTATTCTGTTATTTTTTAGACGTAATATTTTCTCATCTTTTAAGATTAGTTTTGAAATTTAATTTGGTTCTTTAAATTATAAAAGGTATTATATTGATCTCTCATCGTTTTAAAACAAGTATTATATTAGTATTTTTGTTAAATTAACTACGTAAAAATCTAAAAAATATTATTAAATTTATCACTAATAAATAAAAATAATAGTGAGATATGTTTTAAACGGTTAAGATTTAATATAATATTTTTGAATTAAAAGACTAAAATAAATTCTGAGTTTAAATATGAAAACAAAAAAGATATTAACTTGTAAAGCATGTTAATTTTGGAATAAACTCATTGTATTATTATACTTTTGGAATGTACAAGACAGTACTATATATACTGTTAAGTAACAAATCACCAAACTCAATGGTGTGATTGGTGCGGTTGCAATGAGTACAGAGTCGGTTTCCACGGCCACCACGGCCACGACCACGACCAGGGTTGTGAGAAGAACGAGAAGGTGCTTGAGAAATGTGATTCACAGATGATTGAGACTCAATTGAAGAAGCAGAAGGTGAAAGAAGGTTGAATTGACGTTCTTGTTGAAGAACCAGATTAAACACATTATCAAGAGTTGGTAGTGGGGTCATCAACATAATCTGCGAGCGAACATGAGCGTATTGGTCACCAAGGCCCTTCAAGAACTTGATAACTTTATCTTGTTCTTTGAATTTGCGTAAGTCTGATGCAGCACCACAGGAGCACGGTATAGCACAAGTACAATCACGAATTGGCCGGAAGTTCTCGATTTCTTCCCAAAGCGTCATCAATTTCGTGAAGAACGAAGAGATATCGAGAGTTCCTTGTTGAAGACGAGCAACAGTTTCTTGAATGTCAGCAATGCGAAAAATGTCTCCCTGAGAAAAACGATTTTCCAAAATTTTCCATACAAGAGAAGCACGATCATACCAGAGAAGAGATTTTGCAATTTCCTCAGAAATCGAGCGTTGAAGCCATGAGAGGACGAGATTGTTGCATCGCAGCCAAGGTTCGTATAGAGAGTCGGAGATAGGTGGAGGAGAAAGAGTGCCATCAACGAACTTGATCTTGTTCTTGGAGATAAGAGCCACTTTCATCGATCTAGATCAGATCTGGTAGTTATTGGTATCAAGAACTGGTTGAACAAGAACAAGAGAGGGATTTTCGTTAGGATGCATATAATAAGGATTGGAAGGGTTTGTAGCGAAATTGGAGTAAGGAAGCGCCATAGTCAATGCTGAAGCATTCAAAGGAAAAGGGAGAGGCGAAGACGCGCGAAGAAGAAGGAGAAGGCGCGAAGAAGATGAAAGGAAAGAAAAGGGAGGCGCGGAAAGGAATTTTCAAACTGATACCATGTTAATTTTGGAATAAGCTCATTGTATTATTATACTTTTGGAATGTACAAGACAGTACTATATATACTGTTAAGTAACAAATCACCAAAGTTAACTAAACTGAATTATTTGCATCATGTAATAAAGCAATAATGCAGTATTATTAATATTTTTAAAACATTCATTCTATTGTTTGAATTTATATGTTCTACTGAATTTATGTAAAACATGTGTAATTTAGTGGATAAAATTATATTTAAAATAATGAGGTAAGTTTAAATGTTATTTCTTCAATTCTAAAACAAGTCTAATGTAAGAGAAGGAATTTTTTTTTAGGAGTGAAGGTCTAAGCCCAAAAGAAGAAAAGAGGGAAAAATTTTATAATGAGTTGATGTGGGTTTATTTTGAGCTTTTATTTTGTATAACTCGTAATTATGTCATTTATGATTATTATGAAAAATGATTTATAGTGTCTTTCTAATAATAGGTGAGGATGTGTAAGAAGATTCTCATAGATCTCAATGTTTTTTTGGCAAATTGTAACATGAAGGTGGTTAGCTTTCCTATTTGGATAGTGTAGCCACTTTGGATGGAGACACCAAAGTTAGGTTAAAGCTTATGTTGTGTGAGTACAAATTTGTAACCCTTTAAGTTTATATTGGTTCATTGAAAAGATTTGTATGTTGTCTTTAAATTTTTCACATTATTTAAAAGATTCTCATTGAAAAGATTCTCTCCTTATTGAAAAGATTCTCGTGTTGCCGTTAAATTTTCCACGTTTATGGACATGTGTGGGATGAGTTTATTAAATACATTTTGAAGACCATATTCTTTGTTATATGATTTTCCATTAATTTTTTATAAGGGGATTCAAAACGGTTTCCACTATTTCTTGTTGTCGAAATTATGTTATTGAAGGAAATTTATTGTTCCATCTTGATTGTGTGCGTCGTGTCCTTTACATGATGTGATGTTTGAGTCTCCTTTCACCCTCATTTTAATATGAACAATTTTAAAATAACTACCTATCAGATTAAAAGAACTCAGGTAATCTGTTGAGATGTTAACTTCAACTGAAGGCGAGTTTTGTCGCAAAAAGTCAAATATTCCATAAGGATATTTCTTTAAATGTCTTTCTTAACTTTGCAAAATCTTTATGTGACTTTGTTTTTTCTAGTTTGTTCTTGGTGTAATATCCCCCCACAAGTTGGAGGATAAATGTTAATCATACCCAACTTGGAACATAGTGTATGAAATGGTTGTGGCAGAAGTTAATGGTGTGTTGGGAGTAGGTGAATGTGTGTTGGTGATATGTAGGACATTTGTTCTGGCTACAGGTTTGATGTAAGATGATTGTTGAAATTGGTATGGTTTGTAATTTTGGTAAACCTGTCAATTTGTGGTAGGTGATTGGTTATTTGTAGCATAAGGAATTATATGTTCATGAAGGATAAGTGTCATGAAACAAATATTTCTTTTGTGTAAAGATCAAGAAAGACACTTCCTTTAAGATCTGCCTTGTATCCCAAGAAAATAACTTTTCTTGCTCTATGTTCTAGTTTTTATCTATGAGATTTAATGGTAGTTGCATAAGAATATAACTGAATACTTTGAAATCATGTATATTAAGAATTTGGTCATATTGAATGTGATAAGGTGATTTGTTTTGAAGTAATGGTGAAGTGATTCTATTCATGAGGAAAACTACATATGGAAGAGCATATGACCAAAATTGTTTGGGAAGTTTGGATTGGTAAAGAAGGTCTCTTCCTATGTTAAGTGTGATACGGTGGCAGAACCAGACTGTTTTAGGAAAATGCTGGTTTGCGTTTTGCGTTTGTGTTCGCAAAATATTGCGGTAAGCAAGAGTCGCCACCGACTTTTATTTTATCCAACTGGAAAGGAAAAAAGCACAGAAAAATTCTTTTTTCAAGATTTTGAGTACGGGGGGGGGGGGGGGGGGGGGGGGGGTAGATTATAGAAAGGGAAGGTATTAGCACCCTTTCTATCCGTAGTTTTCTACGGGCTCTTAGGTACTTGCTCATCATTTAAAAATTCGTGTTTGTGTGTTTTGAAAAGTTTTTTGTTTTACTTCGTTTTAACCCTTGTATCAGTCATCAAGAGTGTTATGGAATTGTTTTGAAAACTTTGTTTGAAAAGAGTGTAAGTGTGAACAAGTTTGTTTTTGAGCAAGTACCTACTAGCATCTACCTACTCGAAAAAAGAATGTTTCTGTTCTTCTTTCCTTTAGACAGTGTTATCCCACTATTAGTGAGTAGGTAGCACCGTTGTTGGAGTTGTAAGGGTCAATTCGAAAGGGACATACGATCACTAGAGCAATGTTAGGACGTCTTAGTAATAACCCTAATGTCTTAAGATCATATTCGAGGCAACGTTTCCGAGGTAACCTTAGGCAACATTTCTGAATGGGACATTTGATCTTTGTTTAGACAAAAGAGCGACCACTAAAACACCCTATACTTAATGATCGTTTACCAAAGGCAACCAAAGTGGGAGTATATCCTAGGAGTGTGCATGTGCGAGTGACTTGATTTCAGTTATTATCTTTGCATATTTAGGGTTTGCTAACCATTTTAAAATTAACATACATTCTTGTCATGCAATCCTATTATCATGCATCTAACAGTTAATATTTGCGAAAATTAAAATGCGAGAAATAAAACT